CGCAACAAAAGATAACCAGGCGCCCCTGGATCCACCTCCCAGGTCATACCTTCAGATGCTGTGTGTTCTTTACCAGGGCCTGGTCTTTTACTGACACTCCTTCCCCACGTCCAGGGCCTGCCGGGCCACCACAGGCACCTGACTTTGCAGCCCCCCAGGACCTGCTAAAACAAGGCTGTGGGGAGGAAGGCTTCCTATGCTCACGCCTCTAGGTTGAGACAAGCCCTGGCCTCAAATCCTGACTATGCCACTCAGTAGGAGCACTGAGCTTCAACAAGGGTCTAAATCTCTCTGAGCCTGATTCCTCATGTGTTAAAGAAGTCAGTCAATTCCCATGGTCCGCAGTATGTTCTATGGTCACAGGGAAGACGGAATCGGTGTACGCTGAACCTGATGCCAACGTTCCTGTGAGTCTCAGGCCACACTTTTGGCAACTGATCAAGACAGAAAGATGCCTGTGTAACATCCTCACAGCAACAGCACCGTGACTCCTGCCAGAAGGCGCCTTATCTACCACTTGTGTACTCCCCGTGAGGCCCAGCGCAGCCCTGCACATGGGAACACTAGGGAGCACACAGCACGGCACGTGGGGGCCATTTCAAACAGAGAAATCACCACCAAAGAGCACAAAACTAGAAAACCATGGCACCAACTGGGCCACAGGAAGGGCGCTCGTTTACAGCATGAGAGCTGGAACAAGGCAGGAGTCAAACGCCTCATTGACCGCAGATGCAAAAGTGCACATCAGATGACATCAGTATCCCGCACTCAGGGACAGTCCACAAAAGGCCACACGTGCACATATGGGGGATCCAAGTACATTTCAGCCAGTAGATGAGTCACAAACAGGGAATGCGTGAATGAAAACTGACCTTACCTCCATCACTGGTGTTAGGGGATGCAGGTACCCAGACCCCATGCCATCATCACGATCGACAGTGTGGGAGGTGAGGCTATCCAAACCCAGACAGTGCACCATCCCTGGTGTCCCTAGTCCTTCCATCCCAGCTACCAGCTGCGGGCCCCTTTTACCCTATTCCCATCCTGCAGTTAACATGACAAGGTTTGTAAGAATGCATCATTGCCAGGGGACTCTCTTGAGTTTCACTCAGTGGGTGCTGAGTACGTTGGTCTGAATGACATCCTGGCAGATGCCGCTGCATTGGGGTGGTGGCGGTTACCTGTCCAGCTCTTCCCTCAGCTTCTGGTTCTCATTGGTGAGGATGGCATTGGACCTCTGCTGTTCTTGGAGAGCCTCCCGCTGGGTGTTCAGGAGCTTTTCGAGCTGCTCCACTGCCTCCCTGTGCGCCATCTTGTCTTCCTGCCTGTGGGAGGGAAGACACCTGCTAGGAAGGGACACCCCTGAACACTGCAAAGCCTCCTCTGGGGGGCTGCTCTATGGAGAGCTGAAGGGGAGGGCGATGGGCAGGGAGTGGGTTAGACAGCTGAGAAATCGGAGAATGGCAGTTGGCACAGACATTGGGCTAGCTCTGGGGGATCTCCTCCAGCCACAGAGCCGAGTCCACCTTCCTCCATCTGATGTGTCTCCATNAAGTCCTCCTTCCCCCATCCGATGGGTCTCCATAGTCCTTTCAATTCCCTGTCATTCCAGCCCTTTAAAACGACACCACAGCATACACAGCTGAAGTCCACTCTACCAAACACTCTACTTCTGATTACAGCAGTCCCTTTAATATTTCTTGCAAAAACATTTGGTGGTGAGAAACTTTTAGCCTTTTTTTGGTCTGGAAAGCCCTTTATTTNACAATAGTGCTTTGGTGGTGATAAACTCTTTTAGCCTTTTTTCTGTCTGGAAAGCCCTTTATTTCACCATCTATTTTGATTGATAGCCTTGCTGGATAGAGTAGTCTTGGTTGCAGATCCTTGCTTTTCACTCTCATGAATACTTCATGCCATTCCCTTCTGGCCTGTAGAGTGTCTGATGAGAAATCAACAGACAGCCTCATGGGAGCCCCTTTGTAGGTAGGTAACACATTGCTTTTCTCTTGCTGCCTTTAAGATTCTCTTTGTCTTGAATTTTTGGCATTTTAAGTATGTGTCTGGGCCTGGGCCTCTTTGCATTTTTCTTGCTTGGCACTCTCTGTGCCTCCCAAATTTGTGTGACTTTTTCTTCACCAGGTTAGGCAAGTTTTCTGGCATTATTTCCTCAAACGGGTTCTATATCCCTGGCTCACTTCCCCTCACCTTCTGGGATGTGAATACAGTCATGCTTCATGTCCCACAGCTCCTTTAAACTGTCCTCTTGTTTTTTCTCTCTGGACCTCTGATTGACTGTTTTTTTCTACCCTGTTTTCTAATTGGCTGATCTGATCCTCAGCTTCCACTACTCTGCTGTTTATCTCTTCCAGTGTATTCTTTTTTTTTTTAAATCCTCACTCGAGGATATCATTTCGATTGCTTTTCAGAGGGAGTGGGAGAGAGAGAGAGGGAGACACACAGACAGACAGACAGACATCAATATGAGGCACATTGATTGGTCAACTCTCACTCATCCTCAGACTAGGCCCAGAGATCCAGCTCTGAGGTATGTGACCTTCGCCAGAGTCAAACCTGAGGCCCTTCAGTCCTCAGGCCAACGCTGTGACCACTGAGTCAAACCGGCTAGGTCCCAAGGTATTCAGTATTTCTGCTATGTCAGTCTTAATTGCCTGCTTAGTTTCCATGTCTTTTCTCATGCTGTTAGGGCAATCCTTACAACCATTATTCTGAACTCTATCTGATAAGATTGCTTATCTCCATTTCCTTTAGCTCTTCTTTTAGAGAAGTCTCTTGTTATTTCACTAGGGGCTTGTTTGTCTCCCCATTTTGGTTGCCTGTTAGGTTTTGTGTCTATGTATTAGGTAGATCTGCTAAGACTCCCATTCTTTGTGAAGGGTCTCTGGTGCAGGCCAATGTCAGATTCTGTTTGTGAATGGCCTTGGGTACTCTCTGTTTGGAGCTATACATGATCCACAACCTGTGGCAGATCCCTCTGCTGGGGCTGGGTGCCCCTGGAAAAAACCAACATGCACACCAGGGTCTGCTTTTCTAAACCCTGGGTCCAGAAGCAGATCGGGCAGGCTGAAAGCATCCAGAGGTCCACCTCTAACTGCAGGGTCATTGTTATTCTTAGTCTCTTAATGAGTTTCAGGCTATAGACCACAGAGTGTGGTGAGAAGTATTCCATACCATGGGGCAATTATTCCTCCCCAGGCAATAGCTGCCTGGGAAGTACAGGTCTACCTGAGAAAGACAGCCTCTGCAGTATGGGGGAAGCACTCAGCACAGGAATTCAGATGGCCACCCTCCAGCTCAAGCCCCAGAGCCAGCATCTGTGGATTTTCCTCATACAGCTCTAGTCCCCTCTGCCCTCCCTCCGCCAGAGCTCAAGTTGTGTAGCTGACACAAAACTTTGTGCATTGGCCTTTTAAGAGGCTGCTTGCATTTCCAGCCATCTCTCCCTGGCACATAGAAATGCCGGTGCTTTTCACAGCCAGATTTTATGTGGCCACCTTTCTCAGTACTAGTGCTCTGGGCTGGGGAGCCCTGCTTGGGATTTGGACCCCAGAGTTCTCACTGGGGCCCCCCATAGCTGAGATATCCCTCCAGACCTTCGGCTATTGCCTCTGGGTGCCCAATAAGCTCTCTCCAGACTCCACACTTTCTACCAGTCTCTAGGCGGTCTCCGCTTTAGGTCCTTGGTTGTGAGGGTGCTCTCCAGCTTAGTCTCCAGTTGATTATTCAGGATGGTTTCTCTATATTTTACTTGGAATTCCAGTTAGGTCCTGGGGGAGTGTCAGTGTAGGTTCCACTTAACCTGTTGCCATCTTGGAATCCCCAACTTTTAATGCCTGATCTCAGACTACACCCACCAGACACAGTTTTCCTCTGAGTGTGCGGGACAGGTCAGGAGACTCCAGGAGGCATTGTGCCACTCCAGAGTCAGGTAGGCAGTGACGCACACTGGTGGGGAGGGGAAGGAGGGCGGCACCCGAGATGATGGGCAAAGTGACATCACTAGCTTCAGGAAAGAGGAACAGGCTCACCAGACGGGGTGAGACACATCCTCCCTCCAGCCAAGAACACCCCCCAGTGTGTGGCCACTTGAACCTCACACAAGGCCTGAGGGAGAACAGCAGGCTGCCTCTCTAAGCCTATAGTGTCTGGACTGATAGGAGCCCTAAAACACCAGAAGAAACCCTCCAGAGTGGACCAGGGTGGGAGTGGACTAGTCCAGGGACAAACAGGGACCAAGCTCAGAGCAGAGCCCAGGGACTCCAGGGTGCAAATCAGAGCTCTCCCGTCTGATGAACCTCATGGCAATGAACCACATGTGCTAGAAATGGCTTGGTAACAGTTGGGAGAAGAACAGAAAGAAGGGCNTACCAAGCTAGAAATGGCTTGGTAACACTTGGGAGAAGAACAGAAAGAAGGGCCACAGGAGGACTCACAGCTCTTGGCTCACGAGGCACAGTCTGGCCTTGCTGTTCTCTAGCTCCTCGACCAAGTGCTGCTTCTCCTCCATGGAGAGGCTGCTGGTCAGGCTGGATGTTGAGTCCGCGCTAGAGGCCTGGAAAGGACTAGGCGGCTGTTGCACTTGGAGGTGCTCGTGCTCCTGAGACAGGTGGGCAGAGAGGGGGGTCTCATCAGCAGGCTCCTGTGCCCAGCACAGTGCCCACACTAGTACTTGGTGAAAAAGAACCAAAAGATGGAAAAATGTAAAAGAGAGGATGTCAGCTAAGACTGTAAAACCAGTAGGGAGCCAGGAGAATGGTGCTATGTTAGTGAAAACCAAGGATATAGTTAGTGAGACAAAAAGGGGAGTGTGAATGGAGCAGTGTCCCCAAGCTGAACTTCTACCCTGACACAGGTGTCTTGGAGGTGACTGTGCAGTGCAGGGAAAATCCCATGTCCTGACACCCGGGGAACATCCGAGAGGAGGACGGGGTGGTCTGCAGGATTCAGAGGGAGAGTCAGGATGAAGGCAGCCACACAGCACTCGGGCCCCAGGCCCAGGCCCCTCCTCAACCTGTCCCAACAGGCCACTTGGCCATCAGCAAACACACCTCCTGGCATTGGTCTCGCTCACGTAGCAGCCTCTTCAGGAGAAGCAGCATGTTCCTGGAGAAGGCCGCTAACTCCTCTGGGATCATGTCTGGAAGTCTGAAATTCTGCAAGTCCAGCACATTCTCCGGACTGTGGGTCACCTGAGGGCACACACGGGTAGGGTGCTGCAGAGGCCGGACAGGGAGCAGCTGCGAGGGAGCCCGAGAGCACCCACCCTCCATGGCCATGCCACGGGGCCTAGGTGCACTCTCCCACAGCGGACCCATGTCACTGACATTAACAGCTCTCATCCACAAATTTCCTATGGCCGGCAGGGGGCTCCTGAACAAGTGCTTTCCCAGGCTCTACCCTCACAAACCACTTCTCCCTTCATCACCAGCTCAAAGAGGACACTGATGTTAACACCAGAAAGCTCCTTACAATGCAGTAGTTCCCTCCACAGTCCTCAGATGTTCTCAGTGGAGCACCATCCATTTACCACNAAAATTCCTCAGATGTTATGACTGGAGCACCATCCATTTACCACACAAAGAAGGTCAGCCTTGGGTGTGGGAGAGTGCAAGAAGAATACTATCTTATTACTTAAAATCTAAGGCAAACATGGCCCCATATTAAAAGACTTATGTCAGAATGTTGGTACACAACAATCTTATGTTATTTTTTGGGGAAATATTTCATGATCTAAAATAATTTTCAGGTAAGCCTGTATCTCAGTCCCACTGGCCACTCGCACCACCTGGTTTTCCCCTTCAGCCGGCTGGGAGCGCAGGCCCACGGCCACGGCCTTGCCGGGCCGCCTCTCCACCGATTGCCAGGCTCTCCTTCTCAACCTGACCCCCCAGAGCAGCCAGAGGCACAAGGTCTTGTTCACGTCCTTGTCACCTCAGTTTGGGAAGATGACTATTCGAGGACTCACACCACAAAAGGGGAAGACACTCAGGGAAACGCACCAAAAAAAGTTCTTAAATATTACAGGGGAGTAAATGGAGGTAGAGAATAACTTAAAACAACAAAACCCACATGAAAATGGGGCCTTCCAGTTTCTCAAATGGCACCCACTTCCTTACTTCTCCCCACCTCACAAAGGAAAAGTCGGGAGTCAGAGGACCTCAGGGAATTAGGAGAAATCTCAGCCAATGATACGGGGCACCCCAAAGGCCAGGATCTGGGACTCAGGGGCTGGGTTCTAGGCCTGCTCCACACCAGTGTCTGGGAAACGCCCTTCCTGTCTGAAAAGGGGCTCCCGGGACACAACCCCAGCTGCACATCACTCAATTGAGCAGCTCAAATTAAAGCCTCATGTCGCTCCTACCGGATACTCACTCAGTGGGTCTCTTGTGGATCCCGGGCACCTGACTGCCTGAGAAGCACGCAACTAATTCTCAAGTCCCCGCAGCCAGCACTGAATCTGACCATCGCTCAGGATTCTTTTGGCTGCATTCCACCCTCTCTCATTTTAAATATCCTCCTGGTTGAGCAGGACAGACAGCGTGTGGCAAGGACCTAATCCCCAGGTACATACATTTTCAAAACATGGGGACACATAAGGAAAATCAAAAGGCAGAATGATTCTCAGGCCAAGAGGTGGCCACGCACTTGCAGGGATGGCCGAGTGTGTTTCTGACAATGCTGAGTTTCCCCTCGACTGCAACAAGCCGCAGCCATCTCCTGCTCCGGGGCTGACTCCGAACCCAGCCCCGTGGTGCCTGGAGGCCGGGGAACCATCACACAGCCTGTCCCCGGCATGGGCGTGGGGAGCTCTGTTCACCTGACCCTGCCAGTCACACACCTGCTCCTATGTGCTCCGGCTCCCGTCCTTCTCATGCCTTTATCTAATCTGTCCCATCAGACTAAAGGCCGAACCACATCTCCTAAGACACTTAAAACATACAAGGCTTCTTCTGGACGGAGGGTGGGGAAGGCTGTCAGGGAAATAAATTTTCAGGTCGGGGCTTGCCCTCACAGGCCCGGTTTCTAGGGAAACCACTTCCCTGACGTTACCACCTCTGCCAAGGTCCATGTCAGAGGGGCTGTCCTCAGTACAGAGCCCTCCGGACCCAACCCCAGGGGCTGAGTCTGCCGTGACAGCCCTTCAGGGACCTGGTGCTTTCTCACTTCCTAAGTGGTGCCAGCTTGTTTCTCTGCCATGTCACCAACAGAAACAGAGAATTTTTCTCGAACATCAACCATCTGAAGCAGGGTGACATGTGCCAGAATACAGTCTGTAAATCAAACTCTGAGCCCAAACCACTTCAGAGTCATGTGAGAGCACTTAAAAGTAGTCTGAGTCCACATTAGGCAAGAAGACTAGGCAATGGCAGACTTGATGAAGGTGTTGTAAAGAAATTGTTTTCATTTTTAGCCCCATTTCATTTTAGCTTGCTAAGGACTACCTGTGGGGTCAAGCAAGTGAGGATACACCCCAATCCCCCTCCAGGCAGTGGAAAGGTGTCCGCCTGGCCAGCTGCCACGAGGAGCAGGGCACCACATACCCAAGGGTTTCCCATGTCCTTGAAGGCTAACAAGCCTCACCAGGCTCTGCTTGTCCTGGGTCTGCAAGCAGGCCGTTCCCAGCATGGGTCCCTCCCATCCCCTCTCCTCTGCTAGATAAGGCCCTAGCCTACCCTGGCCGAGTGCAAGTAATAAAGGCGACACATCTCCCCACTGATCCACCGACTGCTGTTTTCAGACTAGCAAAGAACAGAGTGGCACGCTGGGGTTGGAGCTCCTACAAGACACTACCTTTATAAACAGGGTCCATTTGCTGTGGTGTCTGAACCCTAAAATCAATAAAATCACCAACAGGTGACATAGGCTTTAAACTTTTCCCTCGNCCAAACACTTTCCATATTGCTCTGGTGTCTGAACCCTAAAATTAGTAAAATCACCAATAGGTGATGTAGTCTTTAAACTTTTCCCTGGTGGAGAGAGCCTGCCTCCTGGTTGCAATAGGAGTGGGGGTCCACGGCTCAGCCCCACAAAGCCAGCCACACACCTACCTCCTTAATATTGGCCACTATCCCGGCCTGCGTGGCCATGTCCAGCTCTTGGATCCGGTTTATATACTCCACTCTCCTCTCGCACTGCAGAGCGGAACACGTGTTAATGGAAGCATTTGCCACTGAGGCAACCTAGGCCCTTCCNTCTCTCCTCTCGCACTGCAGAGCGGAACACGTGTTAATGGAAGCATTTGCCACTGAGGCAACCTAGGCCCTTCACACCCACAGGAATAGTTTCCAAACGAACTGTCCACCCAGCCCCTGGCTTCCTCCTTTTTAACCAAGAATTTGTCCCTTGTCTTCCCTACGGTCCCTTATACTGGGGTTTCTCTAGAACTTGCTCTGACCACCTACATCAGAATCACCTGAGGAGCCATCAGGCAGAAGACACTGGAGGTGAAACACAGAAATCTGCACCTGAAACAAGCTCTCCAGGGCATCTTAAACAAGTAAAGATCAACAACACCTAGTGTGCCTGAGCAACACGGTGTTGCTCAGTGCCTGACTGTTGTCCCAGGCACCGCAAGGTCTTGGGTTCAAATGCTGCTCAGGGCACACACCTGGGTTTNCTGACTGTTGTCCCAGGCACCGCAAGGTCTTGGGTTCAACTCCTGGTCAGGGCACATGCCTGGGTTATAGGCTTGATTCCCAGTAGGGGTCATGCAGGCGGCTGCTGATCAATGTTTCCCCTCTCATCAATGTTTTTTTTTCTCTCTCACTCTCCCTTCCGCTCTCTGAAATCAATGAAAACTTATAAAAAATGAAATAAAAGAATAAAGAACACCTGGTTTAAGCCAAGGTGTGGCAAACTACATATTCAAAGGGCTACATGGTAAAAATATCTTAGAGTCTGTGGGCCATTTGGTCTCAGCTCTGCCACTGTCATGTGGGAGCAGCCATGGGTCACACACAAAGGAGTGAGGCTCTGTTCCCATGAAAGCGTATTTTATTTTTAATTTTCTAAAAAATATATACCTTATTGATTTCAGAGAGAGGGGGAGAGAGAGAGAAAGAGAGAGAGAGAGATCAAAATATTGATGAAGAGAGTCATTCATGCCTGCCTCCTGCACACCCTACACTGGGGATTGAGCCTGCAATCTGGGAATGGGCCTTGACTGGGAATCCAACCACCATATCCTGGATCATAGGTGGATGAAAAGCTCATTTTCAAACACAGAGGGTGGGTCAGATTCAGCCCCCAGGCTGTGTGCAGTTTCTGACCTTTGCTCTAGGTGTCCCCACACCAGGGACCATTTGCTAATGGCACCTTGGGCTGAGGAAACCCCACCTGCTTCTTGCCAAAGGTGCCCTGGGACAAGCAGTGGCTACCACCTAATGAGTGGTCCCTTCTCTCAGGAAGCCAGGGATGTGTCACGTTGCGCTTCAGGCAGCTTCCCTCCTGCCTCACTAAGGTGGGGTCTAATCCCCACAAACCCCAACACAAGATGGCTGAGGGCAGGCCTCCTCCCCTCTTGCCCAAGCCCTACCTGCACAGCGCAGCCCAGCATCAGCACCAGCAGTTTCCTGACTTCCTCGATACTTCGGCCTACATTGAAAAAGCAACATATTTAATTAGGCTCATCTGATTATAAAATCTCACTGGTGAGACACCGGTTGGTTGTAGGGGGGAAAATCAG